AATGATGGTGCCACTTCTGGCTGTACAGCTCAATAGTATGTCTATTTTCCAATCCTTATATTGATGGTATATGAGCTCTCCATCATAAACATATTCTTATTTTCCAAGTCAGGAAACTCACAAGTTCTACAGATTTCAAAAAGTTGCCATACGAAAATTAAGTGCTTGCTGATAAGATTGGGTGATAGCAATAATGGTAGTGATAATGAGAACCAAAGTTGAGATGACAATGCCTATGTTGCTAATGAGCCCAGATCCTATTCCAAGAGATCATGAGATGACATGTTCCCAAGTTTCAGATTCTCTTGGGAAGCAGCTGTGTTGTCCTCTCTCCTCCCCTGCTCACCTTTTCTCTCCTCATTGATAGATGGCTCCCCCAACCTTGAGGGGGTAACCAGCATTTGCACTATACCACCCCTTGCTATTTATGATAGTCAGCCTCTGGCATGGCCTCCAATCATTCCCATCCTCATGCTATCCATGCCTCCAGTAGCCCCCTTCCCTGTTGTACCAGGATGGTCTGTGTAACCAGCAGGATTCAGCAGAAGTGATGATGTGTCACTTATGAGATTAGAATATTAAAAACTGCAATTTCTTCCTTTTTCCTCCCTTCTCTCATCATAGACAGCATATGGAGAGGCACACATGGATAGGAACCAAGCTATACAACCACAAGGAAAAATGATGCACTGTCCAAACCATCAAAACCCCTGCTGACAGCTACATTGAAATTCATAAGACTGATCCAGAACCACCCAGTTAAGCCATCCCCAGATTCCTGAACCACAGATACTATGAAGTAATGTTTGTTGAGTTAAGCTGCCAAGTTTTATAGTAACTTGTCACAAAGCAATAGCTACCTAATACACTTCAACCTTTAAGAAGATAAACACCAAAGAGCCTGGGGGAAAAGCCTTACCTGAACCAACAATCTTGATATGCTTTGTCTCTTCACCAGTGCAAGCCAGGAGACTGGGTCAGGAAAGTTTATTCTCAGTCTATCAGGCAGGACATGTGATGCCATTGGGGTCTGAAGACTTCTGAAGCACTGCATGTGCACAGAAATATGTCATATTAAGGAATAATATTAAGGAGGAGCTGAGAACGTTTTAAACCTTTCCAAGGTCATTGTTATTCCAGTTCTTCTCCCCAAATTAAAAATTATTTATAACTAGGGCACAGAGGATGGAAGAGGGGTAGATAGTAAGTAGGAAGATAAACCAAAAGGATCTTCTAGGAATTTGGGGTTGTCTGCTCTCTTCATGAATCATTCCTCTCTGCTCTAGCTAGAGAGAAGAGATTAGGTAATGAAAAAATAATCTATGTTCTAGAGCAATATTGTTAAGGAAGTGAAGAATTAAATAGATGAGGAAAGAAATCTTCTGGAATGAGAAAGAAAATCATTATCTACACTTTTAGAGAAAAATCTCAGGACCAATTCCAGCCAACCTGTCCCCTATGTAGTAGAAGGGCATGTATCTGTCCCTTCAGAGGGAGGAAAGGCAATTTGTGAGAAAAAGGGGCCTAGGGAAAGGAAGGGGGAAGATGAGGGGAGAGGAGGGGAAGGGAGGGAAGAAGCAAGTCATGAGAAGATAACTAGAAGGCAGAGACTTAATTAATGCAATGGGATTGGGATTGGAAGCAGGGGCATGAATGGATGAAAAGTAGAGATGAAGTACTCACCTTTTATATCCCCTTGATTACACTGCTCAGTTTGACAGCATCGGTGCTCATACCAAAACCTTTTCTTACTCCCCAGAGATGCTGAAAAGGCCAGTGGAGCGCAACTCCTTGAAGAACAGCCTTTCCAGTCAACAAGTACTGGTACCTGCTCTGCAGAGGAGCAAAGCCCAGAGGGAAATTCCTCTCTGAGTCATACAGAGAAACTCTCAAAAATAAAGGCAGTGTTAAAGGTTTCTGCATTTCGAGTCCCTTTGTCTTTAGCTTTCCACTTCTTAAAAAAAAAAAAGTCCATCTACATTGTCCATGTGAAGAACCCAAGGAGGGATGGCTTGTTAGCATTTGTTATGCTAAGGAGTGTCATACCCTAGCAACCATAATCTCTAGACTTCCTCCCAGAGAATCTCCCTACCTGCCACCTCCCACATACTATACTCTCAGCAACCCAGGTAAGATGCAATAGAAGAAACAGGTTAAATAGAAGATGCACCAGGATGTGAGGAATTCTATCCAGTTACCAATACAGCCATCTCCCTCCTCTAAACATCTGCATCTGTCCTGTGGGCCTAGCAAGGTGGGCAGGGAGCTAACACAGCATACCTGGTATAAATTCTTGCCTGTTGCTGAAGCAGCTTTGAGAAGCTTTACAAATTTTCTGCATACCAGCACTACATTCATTGGGAAGACAGCTTGCACATTCATAAGTGTCTAATGAAAGAAAATAGAATTCAGGAATGAAAATGATGAATAGTCATAATTAATGTTTCTAATAGTCAAACATTCCTGACATTCAGAGGCCATGAAATCCACCCCCTGTGAAGTTAAATGGGCCCTTTCATGTCATTTTCCCTCTCAAAGGGCTACATCAGTCCCCACTCAGACCTTAACACAGAGCTGACCCACCACCAAACACATGCTCACCCCATCTCCACCACACATGGCTGGGTGTGCCAGTGGGGATCTCCAACTCTGCAGTACTCATCACTGCTCTTAGAGAAGGACTTGACCTCTCCTAAGTGGGCATTATTTTTCTGTATTATCCACTTTACCCTTCTAATCTTTAAGAAAAATGGGTCACGTATTTATTCTTACCCACAGTGCTGAAAATCAAGGTGGTGAAGGCATGGTGGTTAATAGGTTCTTCAGGGCTGAGGATGAAGTCATGGCATCACTGTAAAAAGTCCAGGTGAGAGTATTGTCATAAGGGTCATGTGGCCCAGGTCTCCTGTCTCACAACCCAAGTTTAGACAGAGTTGTCATTCATATATTGATTTGACAAGTGAGGATTCATCAGCCCCTGACGCTTGTCATGGAGGTTTGCCCAGGGATTCACTTCTGTCCTCTGGAACGAGTCTCATGGGTGATTTCTTTCTCACATGGGTGCAGAAGATTTTGGAGCCCCCTCCATATCAGCAACTGAAAGAGTTGGTCAAGGTACAGAAATCACACTTTAGGGAACAGAGAAAAGCTCTCCACTTATTAGAACTGTCTGAACCTGTCATCCTCTGGGTCAATTGAGTGCCTTAGTAAAGAAGCTGATTTCTCAATTCTAAAATGTCCAAGTGATTAAAACATTGTAGTTCAATCTAATTTTGATACTAAACCTGGTGCAGTGAATTGCATCGGTTTTCCAAAAATTTACTGTGAGAATAGTCATTTCTGCCACCTCAAATCTTTTTTTTTATTTTTTTAAATTTATGTACGTTTTGCATCATTGTTCATTTTTAAACAATGTTTGCTCCAGGTGTAGTTCCCATAGAATTTCCTTCAGCAATGCGCCTATGCACCATCACCACAGTTCCCTGTGCTCCCCCCTCTCTCACTCCCTCTAATACCTCTCCCTCCTCATCCCCTGCATATGTCTCTGGTTTATAACTGTTTCTTTTTGTTTTGTTGTGTTTTGTATTGTTATTATTTTCCCCCCAATACATGTTGCTCTGAATGGCATGAGTTTATCTTTTTTGATTGCTGAATAGTATTCCATTGTGTATATATACTACAATATCTTGATACAGTCATCTATTTTTGGGCATTTGGGTTGCTTCCAGGTTTTAACTATTATAAATAGTAAGGCAATAAGCACAGGGGTACAGGTTTTCTTTTGAATCAGTATTTTTGTGTCCTTTGGGTAGATCCCTAGGAGTGGATTGCTGGGTCACACGAGAGCTCCATTTTTAGTAGAATGAAGAATATCCAGACAGCTTTCCATAGTGGTTGGGACAGTTTTCACTCCCACCAGCAATGTAGGAGAGTTCCTTTTTCACCACATCCTCACCAACATTTGTTTTTGCTGGTTTTTCTGATATGTTTCATTCTTACTGGTGTAAGGTGGTATCTCACGTGGTTTTGATTTGTACTTCCAGGATTTGGAGGGATGTTGAACCTTTTTTCATATGCCTGTTGGCCATTTGCATTTTCTCTTTGGAGAAGTGTCTTTTAAGTTCTTCTGTCCATTTCTTGACAGGATTGTTTACTTTGTTTTTGTTGAGTCATGTGAGTTCTTTTTATATCTTTGTGCTCAGTCCCTTATCAGTTGTATGGAGTGCCAAGATTATTTCCCAATCAGTAGGGTGTCTCTTTGTTTTTGTTAGTGTCTCTTTTTTTTTCTTTAAAGATTTATTTAGGGCCTCTCTGGAAGCGCAGGTGGTTGAGCGTTGCACTGTGAAGCTATCCACAGCCTCTGCAGCACTGTTTTGATCCTGGCCAGCAGGCGAGAATCCCACATGGTGCAGCAGACCTCTCCTGATGCACCCACTGCTCCCCTCAGAATGTATTTCATCAGTCTGCCTGTTCTGTTCCCCGCTCTGTCTCTGGTGAATCCTCTCATCCTCCCGTACATCTGGCCTGTACCCCAGTTCTTGCATAAAAATAAATCAATCTTTAAAAAGATATAAAGATTTATTTATTTGTGCATCCAAGAACGGGGATACAGGCCAGAGGTGCGGGGGGTGAGAAGATTCACCAGAGAGAGTGGGGAACAGAACAGGCAGATCTGCTAAAACACACTGCTGAGGGCAGCAGCGAGCAAGGCAGGAGAGGTCTGCTGGGCCATGTGAGTTGCTGGCCAGCCAGGGACAAAACTCATGCTGCAGTGGCTGGCAATAGCTTGATAGCACTGTCCTTAACCCCTTTGCCACCAAGGAGGCCCAGTTTTCATTTGTCTCTTTTGCCTACAGAAGTTTTTAAGTTTGTTGTAATCCCAGCTGTTTACCTTTTCCTTCACTTTCTTTGCTTTGGGTGATGAGTCATTAAAGATGTTACTGAGATGTATGTCTTGTAGTGTTTTCCCTATATTTTCTTCTATACATTTTATGGTTTCAGGTCTTATGGCCAGATCTTCTATCCATTTTGAGTTGATTTTTGTGCATGGTAAGAGGTAGTGGACTAGTTTCTTTCTTTTGCATGTGGTGGTCCAGTTTTCCTAGCACCATTTATTGAATGAACGAGCTGTCTTTGTTCCATTGCATATGCTTTACTCCTTTGTCAAAGATTAGTTGTTCCAATGTGTGGCTTTATTTCTGTGCTTTCTATTTGTTTCCATTGGTCTGTGTGTCTGCTTTTGCTCCAATACCATACTGTATTAATTATTATGGCTCTGTAGTATAGTTGAAGCTTGACCTGTGATACCTCTATTCTCCTTTGTTTTCATTATTAGGGCCTTGGCTATTCATGGTTTTTTGTGGTTCCATATGAATTTCATCAGCATTTGTTCCATTTCTTTGAGAAAGTCATTTAGATATTTTTGAAAGATTTATTTATTTATTCATTCATACAAGAGCTGGGATAAAGGCCAGAGATGTGGGGGGTGAGAGGATTCACCAGAGGCAGAATGGGGAACAGAACAGGCAGATTGAAGTACACTGCTGAGGGTAGCAGTGGGCAAGTCAAGAGAGGTCTACTGAGCCATGTGGGATGCTCCCTGGCCAGTCGGGGATTGAACTCATGCTGCAAAGATGCCAGGTTGCTTCTTAGTGTGGTGCTTAACCCCTTGCACCACCAGGGAGGCACCATGTCATTGAGATTTTTATTGGAATATCTTTGAATCTATAAATTGCTTTTGGTAGGATGGACATTTTAACAATGTTTATTCTTCCAATCCATGAGCAGGGGATGTCTTTCCATTTCTTTGTGTCTTCTTCTATTTCCTTTAATGGTGTTTTATAATTTTCCTTGTATAGGCCCTTCACCTCTTTTATTAGATTTATTCCCAAGTATTTGATTTTTTTGTTTGTTTCAATTATAAAGCAGATGGTTTTCTTGATTTCTTCTCTTCAGATACTGTTTGTATAAAGGAAGGCTACTGATTTTTGTGGGATGATTTTGTATCCTGCTACTTTACTAAACTGGTTGATTATTTTGAGTAGTTTTTCTGTGGAGTTTTAGGGTTCTCTGTGTATATTATCATATTGTCTTCAAATAGTGATAGTTTTACTTATTTCCCCATTTGGATTCCTTGTATATCTTTCTCTTGTCTTATTGCTCTGGCTAGGACCTCCAGTATTTTATTGAAGAGCAGTAGTGAAAGAGGACATCCTTGTCTTTTTCCTGATCTTAAGGGAAAAGCCTTCAGCATTTTGCCATTAAGAATAATATTGGCTGTGGGTTTGTCATACATGGCTTTTATATTTTAAGTTATGTTCCTTCTATCCCGAGATTTTCAAGGGACTTCATCATAAATGGATGATGGTTTTTATTTTACTTTTTATTACTGTGTTGGATTATACTGATCAATTTTCATATGTTGAACCATCCTTGTGCCCCTGATATAAATCCCCCTTGATCGTGGTGTATTATCCCTTTGATGCATTGTTGGATTCTGTTGGCAAGGATTTTGGAGAGGATTTTTGCATTAGTGTTCTTTAGGGAAATTGGCCTATAATTTTCTTTTTTTGTGTTGTGTTTGTTTGGCTTTTGTATTAGTGCAATGTTGGCTTCATAGAATGTATTTGGTAGCATTATTTCTTTTTCAGTTGTTTGAAAGAGTTTGTGTAGGATAGGTACTAATTCATTGTTGAACATTTGTTCCAATTCATTTGTGAAGTCTGGTCGTGGGCATTTGTTTTGGGGGAGTGTTTTGATTATTGCTTCAATTTTGCTGCTTTTAATTGGTCTGTTTAGGTGGAAAACAGTAATTTCTAATATTCAAATATTCTGACATGAAACTCTCTAGGGAAGCTGACAATTATGAATTTAGCAATTGAGACTAAAAAAAAAAAAAATGTGAAGAGAACATTTCACATGGCTTATTCAGAACCTGCCAGGCATGGGTATCTTCACCAACTGTTTTAACACTCAGTCTCACCTGGTCTTTATCCAACACCTTCCTCCATCATGTGTCCGGGCAAGCCTGGAAGATCAACGTGGTACCCGGGGGAGGAAGCAGGGGCTAGGTATAGGACAGGGGTACGCAAGGAGTGGAGGCAAAGCCAGGATCATCATCGCCAGTCTCATTTATTCAGGAATGTGCACAATGTTATATAGGGTTCAGAGGAGGAGGTCTCTCGTTATCTCGAACAAGGAGAGACCACCAATACAAACAAGCCACCAGGAGCAAGCAGGGGGCAGGGTTCAGTCGTCACAATAGGAAACTTGAAACCTTCACTGGAGCTAACATTCAGTACCTGCTTCAGGCAAGAACCCGGATGTTCAGGTCTGGGCCCTGACAAT